CCGCCCAGCTGTCCGCGTCTCTTTCTGGGTCCCAGGCTCACCTCCTGGCCCGTCCAAACACCTTGCCTCCTGAAACCCCCCCCCCAAGGACCCCCAGCCAGGCTCCCAGAGGCCCAGCCCAGCATGGCTCCTGGACCTGGCTCCTCCTCTATTCTGGGCTTTTGGTGTCGTGCGGAGTCCCAGCCTGGGCTGCGGGTGTTGGTCAATGCGTCCTCCGGCCGCTCTGAATCATCTCTCCCGTCCTTGCGTTAGGAGGTGCTCCTAGTTCCCGTCCTGGGCCCCGGCCTTCTCCAGAGACACAGAGCCGATGGGGTGTGTGCACAGAGCGGAAGCGATTTCTTTTAAGGAGCTGGCTCATGCCCCCAAGCAGGCTGACGAGTCTGAACTCCGCAGCCTGGCCGCAGACCCAGGCTGGGTGCATCTTTCCTGAACCCGGGTTCCAAAGGAGCTGTCACCAGAGGGGCCAGGACAGCACCGTGCTCAAAAGCAGGGGCTCGGGAGCTGGTCGAGTGAATCCCCCAAGGAGCCGTGAGGACTTGGAGAAAATCCTGACTTTCTGGGCCTCAGTTTCCTCATCTGTAACCTGGGGGGAAACAATAGTATTCGCCTCACAGGGCTGGGTGAGAATGATTTGATGTATACAAAGAACCCAGCACAGCACACAGAAGACGGCAGCTGTTCAATAACTTGTGCTCCTTCCTGTCTTGGGAGCGGGAACTGGGCATCGTGTCACCTTGGAGACCCCAGGGGAAACAGCCACGTCCCGGCTTTGCAGAGCAGCCCCGGGGAGGGAGGGGGCACGAACCTGACGCAACAAGCTGGGAGGGAGGCCCGTACCCGGGGGCTCTCCAGCGTCTCTCTGAAGACTCAGAGCATGCGATGGCCAGGAAATCCTGCACCCGACACACTCCAGCCACATCTCCTGTGCCCCGCCGCAGACCCAGGGCCACCCCAGAGCCCTGGGCATCGACGGGAAAGAGCCGATGATTAATAAAACACTGTGGGTTTCTTTGGAATTTTCCACACACCTCTTCAGTAAATGCTATCGCTATCCCACATACCATTATCTTAATCGTTGTGATCTCGTTGGGTTTGGTGTGTTTTTTTTTCAATCTTAAACCGTCATACTTGGCCACGATTACTCATCCGAAGAAAGCACTTTTTTTTTTTCTATTTTGATCAAAGAGTGGTTTGGGTTTCCTTAGAATGCAAAGCTGCTTCTGGCTTCCTTTCAAATAGTTCCTGAGGCACGTTAAGAGCGAGGAGGACTCTGTGGCCATCGGGCCCCAAAGCCCCCGGCCGGGTGGGGGGCCTATTATTAGCCAGGGAGGCTTCTTATTCCAACAAATGTAGCGCAGAAGTGGAATCGTTTAGAGCCAGCAGTGGGTCACCAACGCCGTCCCAGTCCGTCAGGTGACTGACTGCGAACGGCCGGCAGCAATAGCCTGCCCTGCCGTGGTCACGTCCCACCGAAACTCCCGACGGCTCCGTTTGGTTGTGGGGGACACCCGCCTGCCTCCCCCACGGCCTGGCACCAACGCCAACCATCGCCCGTCTCCCTCACACACTCGGCCACGCCGACCCGCTCCCGGTCCCCGCCGGGGCCACGCTAGTGTCCGTGTCGGGGCATCCGCACTCGCCGCTCCTTCCACGAGTGTGGCTGCTCCCCCTTCTCTCCACACGCCTGACTCAGCTCAGAGCCGCCCGCCCGCCCGCCCGCCCGGAAAAGCCTTTTCCAGCCGCCTGCACGTCCGGCCCCCGGCCCCTCCCGGCTGCGCGGCCCTGCTGGGGTTCTCGCAGCCGTCCCCCTTCTCGCCCCACCGGCACGTCAGATCCTGTCCCGTGCGTCCCTGTACCCTGGAGGAAACCCTCCATCTGACAAACAGCAGGTCCGGCAGACACTGTCGAGGGATAAGTGAATGTGATATCCCCCTTTTCTTTTTTCGCTTGAGTCCCGTCCAAACTCTCTGGGGTGGACCTCACCGTGATGCCCATTTCCTGGTCAAGGCGATGGGCTCAGAGATGGGAACCGCCACCCCCGGAGGCCCCTTATCTGGTTGTTCATGGCTTTGCAGCGAGCCACCCGCCAGAGTCACTGCCTTAGAATAATAGCAAGGACACACCACTTCTCTCAGTTGCATTGGGTCCCTGGATGCTTCTTCCGCCGGTTTTGCCTGTGCTCACACATGTGGCTGGGACAGGTGGGACACAGGCCATACCTTCCCCCACGTGGCCCCTCCTGCCAGCTGTCCTCACAGCCTGCTGGTGTCGGAGCATGATTCCCAGAGGGCGGAAGCTGAGGCCCCACAGCCCCGGAAGTGGCACAGCATCCCTTCCACCAGGTTCCGTCGGCCAGAGAAGCCGCAAGGCCAGCCCAGACCGGCCGAAGGGCCACAGATGCCCCTCCGGCTGGCAGGCGCTGTCACATTGCAAAAGAGCTGGAGCCACGCTGCGTGGCCACCGCTGAGAACCCGTCACAGCGGGTCCGTGTTGGACCCGGCCTGACCAGACCCCTGACTCGGGAAGGAAAAGCGAGGGGTCCTCATTATCCGACACCCAGTGCCTCCAGGGATCCGAACGGCTTACAGCAAACTCATCTTTCACCCCTATTCCGTGTCCCCCGGGGGCCGGCGTGGGCTCTGGGAGGACTTCACTCTGGGGCCCGAGGCGGCAGAACGGCCCTCCTGAGACAGCGCCCGAACAGAGCCAGGCCCGTGACGGACAGGAAAGGGACAGGGAGGCACAGACTGGCCCAGAGCCCCTTCACGGAAGGGACACTGGCCACCCCCACCCACACGCCAGCGGCCTGCGGGTCACCGACACATCATCCTCTCTCTGGGAGGGGCACCGAGTGGAAGTGGACAGTGACCCCCCACACACGGGAGTCCGTTTTCCTCTCCAGTCCTGAGAAAACAAGAACAAAAGCATTCTCTGCAGAGCCCAAGTGACTCACCCTGTTCCCACCATTGTTCCCAGGGCTGCCGTCTCACCTGCCCCGCGGCCCAGAACGCCCTCCGCGGAGACAAGGTCGCTGCAGGCTCCCCCCTCCCAGGATACACCTCCCAGCCTTCCCAGAAGCCCAGCCTGACACCTGCCAGAGGCCTCACTACTCACAGGACCGGGCCCAGACTCCCACCCCTGCCGTGTCCTTAAAGCACCCCGCCCCAGCCCCCCACTGGCAGAGTCCTGTGGGCTGCTGGCCTCATCCGTCCCCGCTCGGCCCGGGCTGTCTCCGGCTCTGTGCGTGTCTCTGGGCCACTTCTCCACCTCCAGGCCCTCCCCTCCTTCCCCACCACGTGAAACGTGGCTTCTCTGTCGTGTCTGGCTCCAAATCACTCCTCTCTGAGGAAGCACCTTTCCCCCTGGCAGGTCAATCCACTTTTTTCTTTTTCTCACCCTCTCGTCACAGCGTCACGCGTGCGTTCACTCGTGCAGCACGTGTCCCGGGCATGTATTACTACGTGCCGGGTGCTGGTCCAGACTCTAGGGAGACAGACGCAGGGAACCATCCAAGCAAGACTCCTTCCCCTTCCCCCCGCCGCATTCTGGTGCGGCGTGGCAGGCCATTAGTGTGTGAACGCGGTAGTGTTAGATGGCGGTCCGTGTTTTCATTACAATAGAACGGGATGGTCCGAAAAGCACTGTGGCCGAGGAGGCCTATGGGGAGAGGAGGGTGGGGCAGCCATGGGGTGATGGGGTCCCAGCCCGGCCTGTTCGGGGCACGGGGGTTGGGGAACGTCACCCCGGCGGAGGCGGCACGCAGAGGGAGGCGGGGAGTGCTGGGACGGGGACTCAGGGAGGGGGGCTGTGGCCGGGCCGTGCTGATGGTGACACGCACAGAGTGTCCTGACTCTTTCTGACGCCGGCAGGACGTCGGGGGACCGTCCCCAGCAGCGGACACCGCTTCGTGCATTTTGCAGGTGAGCAAGAGGGGCGTCTGGGAAACCAGCCGGGAGGCTCTCGATGTCACTCCGAGATGCTGGTGACCTGGATACACAGACTCCAGGGGCCTCGCCTAGAAGCTGTGAGCCCTCAGCTCTAGGGCACCACGGCCTTGGCCTCTGTGCACAGGACTGGGTCCACCGTGACGGAGTGGCTTAGGCGGGTCTGTCAACGTGCACATGGCCGAAACGTACAGTTACCCGGACCAGCCTCTCACGAGCCGCTCTCACTCACGTTTGCTAAGCTTGTCCAGAAACCCCCCTGCAGGGATCACGTTTCCCAAGCAACTGGGGGCGGCCCATCTGCCCCTCTGCTAGGTGGGCCACCCCAGGCTTCACACCACACCTGTGGTCGTCCTGCCCGCCAGGTTCGCACCGCTGAGGCCGGGGGGGCTCCCACAGCAGCCCAGACGGCTCGGTGCTTGGGAGCCAGGTCCTCCCATCTGAGCCTCCACTTTCTCACCTGGAAGATGGGGGCCCTTTCCCCCACCCGAAAAGCCCCTTTCCCGAGACCCTCTCCCCTGCCTCTTCTCTCTCCCCATCCCTTCCTTCAGCTAGGACAAACCTGCCCTATTTTCTGAAGTTCCGCTGACCCCAGAATGATCAAAGCTTTTCCCTGGAAATGAGTCCTTCCTTTCTTTTCTAGCCTGCTTGCCCGCTGGCGTGCCCCCACACCCCGCCCCCGATCCAGAGACCTGGCCCTCCCTGGGCAGACCCTCCAGCTGTGGGTGGAGGCTGGTGCTGGGCCACAGTGGGAGGTCCCCTTCCACTCAGCCAATTACCGCACAGCTGGACGCTGGGTGCCTGGCCTGGCCGCAGGGGGTGTGGGCAAGGGGCTAGGGAACTGGGGAACGATGATGTGAGAGAAAGAGCAGGCAGCTGACGGAAAGGAAGAGGGAGGGGGTGGTGTCAGAGCCAGAGAGGGGAGGGAAGAGGGTGCAGGAAAGAGGAAAAGAGAGTGGTGAGCGAGGGGGACAGGGAGAGGAGCAGGGGCGCTGTGCCTGCAGCGGCGGCGGCCAGGGGAGGAGGGGACGGGAGGGAGGGAGACTTGGAGAGAAAGGAGAGGAAGGCAGTGGAGCGCGAGGAGGAGCGAGTTGGAGGCGGAGACCAGGAAGTGAGTACGAGGCTGGGCTCGGGGCACGGGCTGTCCTCTGCATCCCAGCCGGAGCCGTCGGAGCTGGCGCGGGCGGCGCGGGACCAGGGAGAGCCGGCCCCACGCCGGGCAGCAGCGGCCCCAGGTAACTCAGGCGCCCCCTCCCTGAGGGGCCCGGGCTTGGGTGGGGTCCCAGGCTGTGCCTGCTCAGGTCGGAGCCGCACTGCTGCTCCCTGGCTGTGCGTGACCTTGGGCGAGTCCCCCAGCCTGGCAGCTTCACTTTCTTCTCTGTGGCCCTCGGGGTCGTACGCACTCCTCCCCGGGGTGGGGTGCCTCGAGCACGGGATGCAGTGCCGGTCTGCCCGGGGTTGGGGTTCGGCGTGCGCCCCCTCTGCCCACGTGGGGTTGGACTTGCAAAGTCCGCGTGTGCAGAAACAGTGTCCGGTCCGACCCCGGGTCTGGGTGGAGGCACTGGAGCACGAAGCCGCTTTCTGCCGGAGGGAGGCCGGCAGAGGGCCCGGGCGGCGAGGAGGGGGCTCGGTCCTCCAGGGCTGCGGCCCCACGCTGGGGGCGAGGATGCACAGCCATCAGCCCGGCGGGCGTTGTCCTTCAGGGGCATCTGGAGAGAGGGTCACCCCTGGGGTGAGCCGGGCAAGTGGCCTCGGCTAGAACCCTGGTTCGCCTGCTTAAACAATGCCGCTGGCCTTCAGCGAGAGTGCCTCAGTTTCCCCCCCATGAAGGGTCACGCTGACGCTGGCTTCGAGATGGAGTAGGGATCAGGAGGGGGGCAGGGAAGCACCTGCACGCTGGGGGGTCCCTCTACCAGGCATCTGTCCTGCCCTAACCTGGGGGCCCAGAGTCCAGGGCACCCCATCCCCTGTGCCCCCCTGGAACTCATCTGTCATCACCAGGTCCTCTCTGGTCTCCTTTACTGGAGAGGGTTAGTGGTCCATCCCGGCACGAAGCAGGGCCCGGGGAATGGAGGCAGGGCAGGAGACCCCACCACCACCCCCCCGCCCAGCCCAGACACACATCCCGATGGTTCTCTAGGACATGAAATCTGTGAGATGACACTTTATGCCCCGTAGAGATTCCTGGTTTTATCTCAGAACCTCAGTCTCCTGTTTGCAATAGGATAGGAAGTTATACACTCTTACCTACGGACGAGTTCCCTGTAGGTTATGAGCGACAACTAGATGGACACACTGATTGTCCCCTCTGACCCTGAGGCGGGGCGAGAACTGAGCAGAACGAGAAGACAACACTTCTCCGGCAGCTGCCCCGCGCAGCCTGCACAGCAGTGGCTCCAGTCATCTCGGCGATCCCGGGAGGCGGTGCCGCTAGACCCTGCTCTGCAGATGAGGGAAACCAGGCTGCTGGGGGTCTGTGATGGCCACAGGGCCACCCGTGCTGGCACTGGCCCCGGGCCTGCCTGGCTCCGGACGGCCGCCCACAGCCCCACGCCAGCCCCACGGTGGGCTGTGAAGGGCGAGTGGCACCAGGCCAGGCACCTGGCAGGTGGCAGCCCGATCTGCATGGATTTTCCCTGGTCCCGTGTGTAATAGGAAGGGCTGCTACCTAATCCCCAGGAGGGTGAGCCTGGACGCTGGCGGTGGGGCTGGGGTGCCTTTGCCAAGTGATTTCTCAAGGGGCCTAGAAGGAAGGAAGTTCACTGTCAACACCGCATGGGAGGCAGAGAGCAGGGTGACGCCCGTCCCACCTGCTCCTCCTTCCTTCCTGCACCGCTCCGTCTGCTGTCCACAGGAACCTCGTCTCCGCTAACCCCGGGCCCAGGCTGCGTCTCCCGGCCTCACGAGCGCTCTCTGTGCCCCCTCCTCCGCCGAGGGCTAGCTCCGCCGACCCCCCCAGCGGAGGCCTCTGAGGGGGACACGAGGAGGCTGCGGCCCATCTGCACCAGCGCCCCAGGGAAGGGGAAACGGGATTAAGACCCAGTTACGAGAATTTGGCTCAGTCCCTGGGAGGAACTTCCTGCTGGTGGGAAAATACAGTTCAGGCAGGCTAGAGAGGTTTCTTTGCCAAAAAGTGTTTTAAAATAAGACGTGGACACCCACACCGGATGATGGGAAGTGATCAAGGGCCCTTCCAAAAGCGAACATACTCATCGACAGCCAGCGAGTGCCTGGATGTCCGACAAGAGGGATCAATCAAGCTCTGAGACACCATGTTGCCGCTAAAGATGGAGAGTTGTTAATGAGTGGAGACGTGGTTATGCGTGTGCATGTATATGGCGAGATCCCAGATCTGGGGCAGGCACTTGTGAAAAAAAGACTGGAAGGAAAGGAGCCCAAGGGCGTGAGCAGGGTTCACCAGTGGGTGGCAGCACTGTGGGGGGCCTGCCCCCTGACCCCGTCATTCCCGAACTTCCCACAGTCTATGCAGGGAGCACGCATGTCAGCAATGAGCAGGCATGGAACTGTCCGGCTTCTGGTGACAAGAGAACCACTCCCACCTCCTCCTGGTCGGCACCCGAGACAGGGCTGGCACGTGGACACTTGTCAATGATAGGGCAGCCTCTGCGTTGGGGTCTGGCTGGCCCTTTGGAAGGGAAAGAAATACTAAAATTTTTTTAAAAGATTTTATTTATTTATTTGTAGAGAGGGGAAGGGAGGGGGATAGAGAGGAGGAGAAACATCAATGTGCGGTTGCCTCTAGCGTGCCCCTCACTGGGGACCTGGCCCGCAGCCCAGGCGTGTGCCCTGACTGGGAGTCGAACCGGTGACCCTTTGGTTCGCAGGCCAGCACTCAATCCGTTGAGCCACACCAGCCAGGGCTGAAATACTAAATGATTAATGTCTGACATCCACTGTGTTCTTACTGTGTGCTCTTGATAGGCCTGTGTGCCGCCGCATTGTGGCGTTGGTCCGCACCCCCCGGTGGCTGATGAGCGTGGGCACCCTTTCCCGTGCTCCTCGGCCACCGGTGTGCCTGGTCGGCAGAACCGTCTGTGCAGGCCGGAGTCGTCTCTTAAAACCTCGCCGTGTCTTCCCTCACTGGGACGCAAATGCAGACCCGACAGAGGCCTGGCCGCGGGGCTGTGCTCGCCCGTGTGGGCCGCACCGCTCCTCCCGCGCTCCGTCCGCCCTGGCCGCACGGGCCTCCGGGCGGCGCGCTGGGCGCCCCCCGGGCCCCCCACTCGAGCCCTTTCCGTGGGCCGTCTCCCCTGCCCAACCGCCACTGGCAAAGCCTGTCTTGGGTCAGCCTCGGCGGGGCCGTCCCTGCCCTCTCTGTCTCGGGGGCTAGCGCCTCCCAGGCCCTTTCTAGCACGTTTCAAAGCTTCTTTTCACACACACACGCACACACACACGCACACACACATTTTTTACTATCTGATAAGAGCTGGAGGAACCGGGTGCAGACATGACGATGCCCCTCGTCACCGTGTGAACCTGGGCGAGCCCCCGCGCCACCTGAGACTAGCAGGGGCACCCTGGCTGGTGTCCCCGGGCTCTGCTGACCCGGCCCCTCTCGGGTCCTGGCTTCTGCGCGACGGCACTGCCGGGGGAGGCACGGGCCCAGCACCGTGTCCGTGAGAGCAAGGTGGCTGGAGCCAAGTTGGTCCCGGATCAGAGCTGGCGGAGTGGCTGGTTGCTGCCAGCCCCGTGGGGACAGTCTCCACGTGGGGACAGGCTGCTTTGACTTGGTGCCCGGACTCCAGGAACAGCAGAGGGGACTGTCAACAGCTCTAGGAAGGACCGGACACCCCGGCCACGTTCGGCTCCGGAATGGCTTGGTTTCCCCGGGAGAGTAGTCTTCTCACCTCCAAACCCTCCCTGAGCATGCGCGAGGCCCTCTGGGGGCCTGGGGCACAGGCGGTGTGATGGCAGGAGGGGAGGAAGCTCCCTGGGGCGCTGGAGGAAGGCAGGGCCAGGCCCGGCCCAGCGTTGTGCCAACCGCTCGTGCACCACGTGAGCTCACACCCACCGAGCTCTGTGAGTGCCCGGCCATTCACTCCTCCCAGCGGCCAGATAACCGGGTCTCCAGCTGCTTCCTTCCGCCAGCTGAGGCATCTGAGGCGGAGATACCGAGCTGCCGCTCCCTATCGCCCTGCAGGGAGAAGCCGTGGGGCCAGAATGCAACCCCGGTGGCCAGTTCTGGGAGCTTCTTGCCCTTCAGCCCCACGGGCCCCTGGACCGCCCCGCCCCCCACCTGGCCCTGTGTGGTTGGGATTATCGCCCCCGTTTCACAGGAAGAGAAACTGGGCTGAAAGCGAAGTAGCCTGGCCAGCAGGGCCTCACGGTGAGAGCAGAGCTGGGAGCGGGACCCCCAGCTGCTGCGAGAGTCCTTCCCCACAGGGGGCCGGAGGCTGAGATGAGGGTGGGGCGCGGGGCAGGTCGGGGGGCCTGGCCTTCCGACGGAGCACAGCCCCGCCTGGCCTTGCAGACCGTCGGGGCCGCCCACAAGCCGGCCCTGCTCGCTCTCCCGGAGGGAGGCCCGGGCTCGGTGTCAGTGCTCACGACGCCCCCACGGCGGCAGCCTCCGGCGCCTTCTCTCACCGAAGGGCAGACCGGGGAACGGCCGTGGGGACGGGAGCGACGCTCTGAGGGGCCACTACACTCAGCACCATCACTGCACCGGCCCACGTCATCTTCCCATTTCACAGGCGGGAAAACTGAGCCTGGACGGTTTCCTGGCTCCTGCGCACTACACAGAGCTGGCCCCTGGGGTGAGCGTGGGGCAGGTAGCCCTGGGGTCCTGAGGAGGGCTCAGGTGGTCCTGCACAGCCCCTCGAGCACAGGCCAGCCCGCCTTCCTCCCGAGGAGAGGGAGAGGCCGGGCTCTCGGGGCAGCGGCAGCTACAAGGAATTCACCAACGATGGTTGTGTTCCCACGGCCTGCATTTTCAGGGTGACATACCCGAGGGAAAGCGACCCCGGTAGTTCCTGTAACCATAAAACAATTCCCTTTGCAATACATTCGATCGCTTTAAAAAATGCGAAGTAAAAAAAAATAGAGCTGGTATCTTGTGCATTTGGCAAAACTCGTGGAGGTGGGGCTGGCAGGAGTGAGGTCTGGGAAACGGGGTGGGGCAGGCAAGCTGCACCCCCGGCTGCGCGGGCCCAGCCCAGGCACCACCCTCTCCGTGCCACGTTTGCTCTGAGGCCAGTTCCCCTTCAGAGCAAGACAC